ATTTGTTCTTCATCTATCTAATAATGTACTAATGTAATTCTGTTGCATTAGCTCTTGCTAGGATCAAGTCACAGTGCTCTGGCACTTCTGACATGTCTCTGCATGTGTGTGTCATTCCACCATGTTTAGTAAAGAGAGTAATTTTCCTCATTTTGCCGAAGGTGAAAGAAGACATGAAAATTTAGCTCAACTGATCTCTTGCACTTTCTTGTCTTTGCATTAGTGAAGATTGTATTATGGTCTTTAGAAGATTCCTGTTGAAAATGCCNATATTTTTTTAAATAAAACCTCTGAATTTATTGACATTTACCTTCTTCAGCTTTTTTTTTTTTTTTTTTTTTTTTTTTTTTTTTTTTTTTTTTTTGTTGTTTTTTTTGTTTTGTTTTCTGGACAGCCTTTCAATTTTTTTTTACCCAAAAATTGCAACTTAATTTCCCATTTCTATCATATCCAAGGTCTTTGGAAAAGTATCAAGAATAACCATATTCTTTTCCTGGACACCAACAGATATTTAAAAGTTTTGTCTAGTCTTATTTTTGAGATGTCAAAGCAACTACTTTTGAAATACAAGCCAAAATTTCCTCTCTCCTTCCCTTCTTCTGTATGTACTACTTAGTTCTATATGTACACTTACTACTAGTGTAAGATATATGACAAATTACCTAAAATGCCAATTTTGTTGTAATACCCATTTAATTCTTGCTTTCTTCATTAATTATTTACTAAAAGTCCTCTCTGTTCCTCTTTATTCTATCATTAGCATACAAACAGGTAAGATACCTTGCAAACTGACACATGACCCTTTTTAAATTTTGTTTTGAATAGTCCCATGGGTGAGACCTATGTTCAAGTTGCATTATTTAAGATTATGATTTTTGTTCCTGCCAAGTGGTTCTTAGTTTAAACTTCTCTCCGGAGAGAAAAGAGTTATATTTAGGGTGTATCTGACTGACGTTTCACTTGGACATGAGGTGAGAGACAATAATATTTTGAATTTTCAATCTCTTTATTTATTGTCACAGAGCCTGTTGAGAACTTTTGATTTGCTCTAGGATAATTCTTGGCAGTACCATTTTTATTCTTTATTGTRTACTAATGATTGGTGCAATTTTGCAAAATTTGACTCTTGTGAAGAAGCACATCAGCCATAATTTAAGTGGCAGGTGTCACAGATGTTTCCACATCACCTTGAGCTGAAGATCAGTAGCCAGCAGCATCTTTTATTTCCTCTGTATACCCTGAGCTAGTAGTGTTTGGGGTTTTATCTGTTAATCAAGATCAGTTCTTGCTTCCTAGCCAGCACTCCTGTTTTTGATTTTTCAGGTGACATCAACAGCCATCTTCCTCTCTGTAGTTTTAAGTTTGCTCCTCTAGTATCTGTACTGCTACCAAACTGAAAGCTCTGCTTTCATTTTTTTTTGCCCTTGAATACATGCTATGGATGAGGTCCTCATGAGCATACTTGGTTTGGAGTTTCTCCTTTTACCACYCCTGTAATTGCTTCTTAAGAGATTTCCCTGGAGATCTAAGAGACATCTTTCCAGCTATCACCAGTAGGAAAATATAGGCCAAAGTTCCAGCAAATCCATTCAAGAATTTCATCACAAGATGTCATCATTGTCTAATTTCAAATACAGCTATTGAATTACAAGTATATGACATACTTCCTCCCAAATATTTTTCACTGAGAATGAGATACTATGTAGTACAAAACGCTCTTTATGTTCATGATTGACTGAGTATTTGTATTTGAATTTTACGTATTTTTGCTTTTACTAGCAGTTTATAAAAACACTGAAGTATCATATGATGTACAGGACTACACAAATACTAAAATAAATTCCACAGGGAGCTGCATTTTCTCTTCAGCATTATCAAAAATTTTACTATTTGCAAATAAGTTATTAGACAAGTGAAGTTTCCTGAACACAATGCTCAATAATCTAGATGCTTTCAGTTCAACAGTAGGAGAAATTTCTTTGACTTATATACTCTGAACATTAAAAACATTATTTTTAAGCTTTACTGGATAATATTTTTCCATATTTATTCAGGTAAAGCTAAAAAAATGCATTTAATTTATAATAAACTGATAAATTATTTCAAAATTATATTATCTGACACAATACTACTTAATTTTTATTCCTAAGCATAGGCCAGATCTCTGGCTGTGTTATGCTCAAGGAGAAGAGAGAAGGTGAACAGGAAGTTCTGAGGTAGAAGTYAAGCCCTCCATACTACAATACTTGGGCAGATAGAACCTTAATTAAAGCACATGGGAATCTGTAAGTAATTAGACAGAGTCTATGTAAGGCACCTCTGAGGAACACTGAGGCACCTGAGACACTTCTTGGCARAAACTATAGGAGGCGACAGAAGAAGCAGAGACACTGAAAAAAGTCAACTTGCTACAAAAAAACTTCAAAGCCCCCCTTAACTGGGGCCAAAAACCTAATGAAAAATCTCAGATCGTATTATCAGTAAGAAAAACCTGTATACTGCCGCATGGTAGTTCATAAGTAATAATTAACATAAGCTAAAATCTGTTCTTAAATATATAAATATCAGTGCAATAAGGCTCTAATTGATTAGTTACTCCAGCATGCAACAATGGGAAATAAGAACTCCTTATTTCCTCCAAGATAACTTATTACTCTGTTATTACTTAGACAATAAAAAAATAATAATATACTTGAAGAGAACATGTTTGATGCATGTAATGCATTTGATGTGATAATAGATCCCTTTGCTGCCTAAACTGTGTTTGACTGAACCTGGAAATGGCCAAAAGGAATGAAAAGTAGAAAGCATACATGTGAAGCTGCATATATTAAGGTCGAGAGCAGAGAGACATGTCTTTATTGGAAAGACATGAATGCAAACCAAAACTGATAAAATTAAAGGAAACATACTTGTATGTTTATTGATCATAGCTTCATTTCTTAATTGAGAGAAAAATCAAATTATCATCCTAAACTACCTCAAGACCATTAATGAGGTCACAGGAAAAAAAAAAAAATTCTGTGTTAAAAATGCTGCACTCTGAACACAAAGTAAGTTGGGACTCAATGTCCATTCTGGGAAAAGAAGCAAAAAAAAGAGCTGAACTTCTGCCAGCTGAAAGAATTGAAACACCAAATGCCATCTTTGAATGTCAAGAAAAATAATGTGTGCAGTAGAAGCCACAAAATGGCTGATGASAAGAGTTATGAGGTATTTACTGATCTTGAAGGAGTAGAAAAAGAAAAGAATCATCAATCATAGGAGCAGACAGAGTAGTATTTACCCATCACTAAGTTACGGAAATTTGCTAGCGCATGCTGTTGCTGTTGTCTCCTTTTCATAGCTCCTACTTGCTCTGCAGCTTCTTACTGGACACCCARTTTTACTGTGGGAAGCTGACCCTGGCTGGATGCCCAGCAAGCCACTCTGTCACTGCCCTCCTCAGTAGGACAGGGCAGGGGAGAAAATAAGACAGGAAAAAAAAAACCTCTTGGGTCAAGATAAATGCCGCTTTAAAAAGCAAAAGCAAAGGCCTGTGCAAAATCAAAGCAAAACAAAAGATTCATTCTCTACTTCCTATCAGCTAGCGATATCCAGCCCCCCYTCCTTTTTCTTAGCTTTCATTGCTGAATAGACTTTCTGGTATGGAATATTCCTTTCCAGCTTSAGTCAGCTGTCCTGGSTATGTCYCCTGCCACGATCTTGCCCATCGTTACCCTAGAGGTGAGGGGGAATGTTGGAGAGGCGGCATGGGTGCTGAGCAAGCTCAGTGTTTGACAGGTGATCACCTCTCCAGCTACCAATGAGAGCACTGCAAAGGCTGCTGTGGGAAAGAGAACTCCATCTCAGCAGACAACTACCATGATAAAATATAATAACCTGAAAATCCTGAATTATTTATAATGTCTTCAGAAATTATTAACTACCTCCCAGAATACAGTTTGTCTACGAATAATTCTGTTTGCCAACAATGCAAGTTGCAGAAAAAACAGGCTGCCAGTATAACATGCCCAGAACTTTTCAYCATATTGCCCCTTACTAGTTTTTTAGAAAAAAATAAGCTGAATCTATTTCTTCCATCTGCAATTATATTTGTATTCAAATGAGTTATTTTTCTCTTTATCCTAGATCCTCTTTTCACTGTAAGCTACAGTTAAAATAGCTGTGTCAATTATATTTAATTGATAAGACAAACTTTCATCCTGTAGATTTAATGCTCCATGAAATGGATAGCTGCTCAAATATATCCTTTTTCCAAACTTTAAGTGATAAGGTACATAACATCCTACACACAAATCCAATGCAATTTTTAGCAGGGATGTACCAGTATAGGTGAGTTAACACAGCTTTGCCTCAGGACTAAATTATTCAGACATGCAAGTCAGTTTTCCCTCCATGAGTTAGGGAGAAGATGTAAWAAAATGCTTTCAAAATTCTTATCAGCACATTTGCACAGGTTTATGCTGACAGACCAACAGGCTAGGCATGACTTAGGGTTCTTAGAATTCTCCATGTTAGGGAAGGTTTGCAAATTTGCCCTTCATTGCTAACAKCAGTCACTGGCTGTCAGCAACATTTTCAACCCTGTGCCAAATATTTCTTCGAAGCGGCATTAGATAATACAGTACTTTAAAAATGTCAGCAGTTACTGGGTTATATATACTCAGAGTTCCATCATTCCAAACAAAACCTCCTCTGAAAAAGATTGTAAAACATCCCCCTAGAAGAATTGCTTCAGTACAAAGACATTAATGGAGATTTTTTTCTGGTAAGATTTCAAAACATCATTAATGACTCCAAGATGCTATTTAAAGCAACAGCTCCAGGACACTGGGCCTAATGCATCTCTAACAGTAAACAACACAGATTGCTGTTCATGGTTATTCAAGTATCTACAAATTATTTCAACACAGTGGGTTACTCAGCAATGTCTTATCCACAGTTTCCCTATGGACAATTAAGTCAAAATTAAACAATAGTTGGTTGTTTTTCCTTACTTGTAGCATGATCTTTCATCTCCCCCAGTCCAGTATTAATTCCAGCATCTATTGAACTCATGATTTTATCAATCTACAAAAGAAAGAGCAGTGAAAATAATTGATGGATCCTCATCTTCATTATTTCATGTTAGTTTTTCATGCACAGATTTATGGCATTTTACTCTCATTAGGAAAACAACAATCAAAATTGCAAAATGCAAAAATCAATAGCAGGCAATTAATTTCTCCACTTTGATTTTTATTTTGCAATATTTGTATGCCAGCAAAACCTAAAGCTTGGGACTAGTATTTATTTTTCCACAGTAGAATTATTTTCATACTGATGACTCTGGTCACCTAGGTATAACCACTAGTGGTCTATTAGTAATATTAATGAATAAAAAATACTGTCCTGTGTTTCAGATTTCCAGAGATTTTCCTTGCCCCCTTTATTTTTCCATCTGCCCCAAGGGGAGTGAGTAGGTGTGAAACAGCTGTGTCCCCACATAGCACAGAACAACATTCTCCATGAAACAGCACTCCACTGATCCCAAAACTTACTCACATGTTTCTAAGGCACATTGAACTTACTAAGTCAAAACCATTATATTTATTTTATTTTCCGTAAGAGCAGGCCAAAATAAAAAGTGAATCAAAAGATTGCTGTGAACTAAGGAGGCAGACATAGGGAAACACATTTTATTAAGCTTAAAATTAGGACTAGTAGGAAAAGTATGTATTAGTCACTGGTGAGAGGAGAAAGTCTGGGAATTAGGACAGAACCTGCAGATTGAGAATTCATACTATATATATATGGGTGAAGATATATATATGTGTATATATGCTGCACATTTTTTACTCTTAAGAAAAGTCAAACCTTGATGACCATGTAGAAGGGCAAACCTGGACCTSACTCTAATCACTATTTTATAATAATGCATCCAAGTTGTAAAGATCAAAACCTGATATCCTTAGTAAATTTCCACTGAGAAAGTGCCTCCTTTACAATGACTATTACAAGTACCTTAAGATGCCCTATCATATCAGACATTTAGGCGAGCTTGAAACCTTTTCCTAGAAAAAGAATCAATCCATAATCAAACTCTGGGTTCTTTCTGAACACAACAGCACCCTGGAGATAGAGGAATTGCCCCACTGTAGCTGTTTTAAAGAGAAATGCTCACTCCTCSGTAGGAGCAGTAAAAATCTAAACATTTCACACTCTTAATTTACCTCAATAAGATGAGAACTTCTGTGTCTATAAGGAACCATTTACATTCTTGAAATTCAGCACAGGAGAAAAAAAATTAAACATAAGGTGTCTGAAAATTATTTTTAAATTGAGTTATAAACCTAAAATAAAGTCTCTTATATGAGCAAGCATGTGCACTACAAATTCAGTGTGGAAATTTCTGTTAGTAGTCCCGAACAGCTGTAAGTGCATTCCCAGTTCACAGCAGCCAGGTATGTGCCAAGCATTTTGTACACAGGCTAYATACCAGTTAGAGGATATGACACAGGGGGAGGGTCTGCAGAATACACAATCAACTCTCTGTTCCTGCCATTTTCTCCTGGCTCTTGCTGACAGGCACTGCCATGGTGGGAAATAATTAGCAAATATGTAAATAATAGGCACAGGTAAAAAGGATTTTACCCATTTTATTAGCATCAGTGGTGAGGGTTGTAGTAGACAATAATTTCAGTGCCATAAAAAAATTGCAGAATTACTTCTGGTTAACTTCATTCACTATAGAAACAATAGGCTTTATTGAATGGGCAGCATTTGAACAGAAATACTTGGCATTTTGTGCCAGCTGTTGAACTATCACACACTAGACTGTGACATTTCTCTGAGGATTTGCAGTGTGGAAGATTCACTTTTTATTATGTCTCTGAAACTGAAAACARTAACAGGCTCTTCACAAGACCATAGTACTTAAAAAATGAAAAAAACTTACTTCTTCCCATTCTGATGTGAAGGAAGGTGTTCTCTCTGAATTCCCTTTGGAGCACTGTGGCTTTGGTGTGGGCTCACTCCAATTGCTTCTTGCTTTTTTATCATTTGGTGGATGGGTGATAAGATTAGAATCAGATTTCGAAACATTTTTGCACAAATGCATTTCCAGCAAAGTCTTTGGTAAAGATCGAATTCTGCCCAGCGTGCAGGCTCGCTCCACAAAYCCCCCAGTGGTAATAACCCATTGTTCACTTATCCTTGGTGCGCCAACCAGGGTATGATTTTCTGCTGGTTTATTTTTAGTATGAAATATGGTTCTGTTTACAATTGGTGGCTTTTTTTTCTTAACAGGAGGATCAGAGCTGCTTTCTTTTCGTAGCTGTATCTGCTGCGCTGCGCTCTTGCTCAAAAAGCTTTTCTCCAGGGGCCCACTGCACGGGTTTGCTTTGCAGTACAGCTGGAGTGGATTTTCAGGTGGGTCACATGCAGGTGATGATCCATGAAGCAAACCTGCAAACTGCTCAGCGGGGTGTCCTTCAGGAAGCTCGCTTTCTGTGGATGTTTCACCCGGGCAAAGTTGCTCTGAAATGAGAGAGTACCTTGTAAACATAAAATGGGGATAAAAATACCTCAAACAACAGATCTTTACTTTCCTCAAAATTACTTTTTTATGCTGCTTGGTTCTTTCCTATGCAAAGAAACAAAAGACAATTATACCTCCCTGAACTGAATTATTATTCTCTTAAATATAATAAAAATCTTAAATTTGACTATTTTATCCTGACTGGTTTAAGAACAGCCAACAATGCTCAGTGCTACATTTAAATTCCAGGAAAAAGAAATTTATAAAACAAAATAGGCCATTGCTATTCCATCAACTTGATAGTGTCTCTTTTAATTTGTTATTGAGTTGAAATGTGCACAAATTATACAGTTTAGTACGATGAATTAGATAGTTAGTTTGTAGGTGGTAAAATACATGGAGAACCAGTGTTGTCAGGAGTATTCTTAGTAATTTTTCTTTTTATAGTCATTATAATAATACTGAATTTACACTGTGATGCCTTTTTACTGACAGTCTCTAAGGAATGGATCTGAGTGTTTTCATTTCTGGGATTTTTTGAGAATAGTARTAATAATCATTGGGAAAAAAAGAATACAAAATCAAGTCTTTTCAAGCAAAGTCTATATGTAATTTAGCACATAGATACATAAAAAGGAACAACAGAGAAATGCACTTTTTGGCACAGTTCAGAGTGGATTATTAAATTTTTATAGCTCTTTTTTTAATGCTTGTCGCTGTAAGGACTAGGAGGGGTAACAAAAAAAAGAGACCTGCACTGACTGAAAGTGTTGGGGTGGTTAATATCACTCTATCAATGTGGATTAAGTTACATGTTCCAGTCAGAATAATTGTGTTCCTACTAATGGTCACCGCTCTATAACTACTTCATCAAAGGTAAATACATTAATCTCATTCTTCAYAGAAGTTGTATGTTCTAGATAGACTGTAGTTGTCTGACTGGTTCTGACTGTGTGCACAGCAGAAGCCACCAGAAGGAATTGAGCATAGCATCATGCCATAATTTGCAAAGATATTGAGCAGTTTTCTCCAATTAGCTAAAATATCTGCTGGCAAAAAAAAACCCCAATCAAATCTCAAAATATCCTTTCTAAAAGAAAGCAGTGCTTGACTTTATGAATGACAGAAGAAAGATTTTGGTGTGTACTTCAAAACTTTATCAACTCTTAAGAGTCAGCAGTTGAAAAACATAAAATTAAATGGTGTTCTTATTTGCTAAAATATTGAAAATATTTATGATATATATTATAYATATGATAAAATTCTAAGAAGCTAAGGAAATATACTTTTCTTCTTTAAGAAACAACTGGAATACATACTTCATACATTTTGCAATGAAAAAGATATGAGGTGTTATGGATAAAGGTTAAATGTAGGACGTGACAGAGCTTAAGGGATCAATAAACCTAGAAAAACTTGGTTTAGGGGGAAAATGCAGGGGAAATGGAGGATGTGGGACATTCTCACTTTCTTTGATTTCTGAAATTTGCTGAATTATAGGTATGTCTGCAATTTTGAAGGTGAATTTAAAATAAGGAATAAATTATGCAAATAATTATTTGGTGCTTTTCCTTTACATGAAAAACTCAGCAGCTACGATTCCACTTCAGAGTAAGACATCTCATTTTTCTACATGGGTAAGAACTATGTAAATTCCAGCCACAGTCAGAGATCAGACTGATAAAATCAGTGGAACCTACCACTCCCTGTACTCTGTTAACTGGGCTGACTACACTGTTTGTGGTCAAATACCTACATTTAGATATTTCAAATACCTACATTTAGATATGTCAATCATGAACTGAATCCAGGTATCATAGCTGTGTATTGAACTCATTGAAGAGATAAATATTTTTTGCCAGGACAAAGCAAATCAGGAGGAATAAATCAGAAAAAAAAGGAAAGCTTACAGACAACATGCAGGAATTTCATTATCTTTGCTACATCTGTGTTACTAGATAGTACTGACCAACAACTGGATCTAAAGGAATTACTAGGCTCATGTCTTGTAAGTTAAACTCTCCTCCTTCTCAAGACAGAGCCGGCCCATCCAAATAACTATTGGAAATGGTCTCTGGTCTCAGCTAAAACTCACACTATGCCTGGGTACTGCCTAGGTGGGTCTATCCAGTATTGGCCAAAGACGGTCAAAACCCAAACAGTTTATCAGAACAGACCACCMAGCACCAATGGCATCCCATGCCCTAATTTTGTGCAATTTACTGCTGTTAATAAAGTAGGTGGTCAGTAAATGTATTTAGTGACCTCTAGAAAGTGCATGTGTGTGTCTCTTACTTTCTAGCAGTGTTACAGTGACTGCACATCAAAACATTAATTCTGGTTGTTTTGTTAGTCGAAGTGGCAATAGTTTACCATGTATTCAAAAAATCCAAATGTATTGTATGAGCCTTTTTCAGATTGATCTTTCACAACAGTTACTACACKATGTACATATAAGTACATATATTCTACTTTAGRTAWAACCYTCATCTTTAAAATACACACAYAGATACTTTAAAGAARTCAGGAAAGAGTAAAAWAAAGGTTATTTGTTGCACCCATTARTCTTTTTATGTGTTAGTAAGCACTYTATTTCACTTTTTATAAGATCATTACTAGCTTTAAAAAATCTCCTGTTATTTCATKTAGTGTTCAGAATGAATTTCACTTAATGAAGAACCTCCTCAACATTTTCATAGCATCATAGAACTCTGTAGGTTGGAAAAGACCTCTAAGATTATGAAGTCCAACTGTTAAACCAGCACTGCCAAGTCCACCACCAATCCATGTCCTTGAGTACCATGTTACCACATATTTTAAATATTTCCAGATATTTATACTCTTTGCTCAAAGGGAGTGATCCTATTATCTATTTAGTGCACAGTATTTAAATTCTTCTTTGAACATCAAGTTATTCAACAGCTTCCACATTTTTATGATGCCCATTATCTAAGGGATTCACAAATATGAACTCATGTATCCTTTKAAGGTGAGACTGTAATGTGATATTATACTAATTTGATAAATGGGAGATRAGACACAAGGATATAATGCTGAAAATGTACAAATGGGCATCTGATTTGAAATTCCTCAAGATTTTCTTTTTCAGAGTGTATAACCCCTTGTAATGCACAGTATTTTCAAAGCAAGGTTGCTACTCACTTCATAATGTGCCAAATTCATCACTCAAAAACCAAAGAACACTGTTAATGGTTATTTGGATAAACTCTGGTCTGTCATGACCAGAGTAACAAAAGCCCTGGGAGAGATAATGTATTGTCTGYATTGCTTTCAGCTTCCTCAGCTGTCAGTTCTCCTCTTTAATACCTTTTGCTTTCAATAAGAGCTTTGTTAATCATGTGATGAAWTAAGCAAAGATCTCATAGCTTCACYCCACAATTTTGAGCAATGCAAACCACATCTATATGAGGCAATAAAAATACTGGGGTTGTGAGGAAAAAAAAATCCAAATGGTCATGATGAAGGTTAAGAAGCAAACAGCATCACATGCTGCACTTCAGCCCTAAAACAGGTTCTCCAGAGTGGTGGCATGTCCACCCTTGGAAGGTTTCAGAACCTGGTTAGGAAAAGACAGGTCTGACCTCATTATGACAGTCCTGCTCCAAACAGGAGGATGGACTACAAATCCTCCAGACATCCCTTCCAACAACACTTTAATGAACCAATTATAATTCTGAATCTTTTGACTTTTGAACTGATAACTGGTAAGGCTAATGCTCTTTGAATACAGATAATTTCAGTWTCCTAATGCACTAATGCAGTGAATGCTTAACACTTTTATGTTCACCGAATAAGTGAACATAAAACTATACCACTTCTCTAAATAGTATAGTAGCCTACCACTCGCTACCATGTTCTAAAAAAAAACTGTAGAAGGAAAAAAATAAACTCTGCAACAGATACYTATAAAATAATTTGCCAGAACATGTTTTTCTTTCTTATGACAAGTCAGTACTTGTTGACCTAAGACCTGAAACATGAGATGTTAAATAACCTCTTCAAACTGCACCATTATCTAAAAATGCAGCTTCATTGTTCRTGCGAGTATCCAAGATGTCAGTCTCAAGAACTAAAAGCAAGAAAAATTTTACACAGGATAACATAATATTACTACTATTTTCTTGCTAAAATAGGCAACTTTGAAAAAAAAAATTAAAATCATAGGTTTTACTAATTACCCATCTCTGAGACAGGTGTATTTTAATTATCGCATATTTCTGTCACAAATTTCAAGAAAAGCTATACTGAAATCAATATTTCTCCTGAGGCTTAGCAGGAATGCACAAAATGTGATATCTACTATATTATTTTCTCTCTGTTTTTAGACATATAAAAATAATTAGTGTTTTGAATATTGCTGTGCATTGAAAAAACCCATTATATTGAACCATTTCTTAATTCTTATTTTTATTTCTTATTAATATTCTTTTTATTTCAACCAATTTAACTGGCACTAAGAAGTGATATAAACAATAACATCACATAGGTCTACACTCAATGAACAGTCATTTAATAATGCCTGGGTTTTTTATCTCACAGTCATTTGAGTAAACTTTCTGAGAAGGGACTTGAAGAAAGAGAATGAGGATACCAGGGACAGTGAACAGGTGAAGTTCAAGCTCTTGGACTGAATCCCAGTGGAGAGAAGGTTTCAGTTTATAATTTYTCWTTTCTTTTTGCAAGTWCATTTTTCTTATTTTAAAAAAAGCCAACAGAAAGAGACCTTGCTTGCTTACCAGATACTGCTTTTCTTACCACTTTATCTTTTTACTTGTAAATAGTATCATAAATACCAAAACATAAACAGATGTCATTTCTACAGAACTTTAGTGTTATTACAAGTGCATGTACAGCTTATCCATCTGAGCGGATTACTTCTGAAAATCACTGTGATAGTGCCATATCTGTGTTACAAGGAAATATTTACATTTGTAACTACAAATAAATTCAGTTGTGCCATAATCTCAAAGCCACAGAT